CTGAAGAAAAGACATCCATCCTCCGAGGATGCTAGCATAAAAATGGAGGCATGCTGGTAGTAAAAGGCATTATTTTGGGTTGGCCACGTTTTTTTTTTCTTTCTAGTTTCCAATCCTCTTGTAGGTAGCAGTATAACGCTAAAGATGAAAACCTCCTGTGTGCCTTCACTGGACAAGAAAAGAAACATACTATATATTATTACCTACATACATCATTTTAACAAGAAAGCAACATTTATGCTCAAAAAGTCACGCTTCCCATGAAACTTTACATACAAAAGAGAATATCTAAAATGTTATTACAATTGCTTCAGCCAGTTCATAACATGGATGCAGTTGCACTTTAGAATCACACCCCATGTACAATGAAATCATAGTCTTGTCCTGGAAAAGGGACCAAGATAATGCTCTGATCTAGCCAGTTTTCTGCATTCTGTCGATGCCCACCCATTGTGATAGAAAATGATGCTGAAAAAAATCTATGATGAATTTCCAGCCAATCAAGAAGCAAATATATACAGTATAAAACACTGAGGTTTCCATTTTTGGTGGACACTAATCAAATACGTATTAAAACAAACACATTTTACTCAGTTATGTTTTAATTACAAAATCCTTAAAGTGAACCTAGCATCATATTTTATTTTAAGTTAGTGGCATTCATCCTAAGTAATGAGTATATCTAACAGCTATGGGTATTTATTACCTCTCACAAATATCACAGTACCCCCCTCCTTCTATTGACAATGCTGTCATCTGTATTTTTCTTCAGAAGTACAGTAGCATTTTTCTTAAGACATTACCAGGGTCAGCATCTGTGTACTGGACTAAGATGTAGGCTCACAGAGGACACACTCATGTAAATCCTAGTGCCTCTGCAGAACCTGAATTTGCCTCGATATCAACATCTTGCAAAAACTCAGCACTTTGCATCAATTAAGGCTTGCTTTGCAAAATGTTGTCAATCTAAATTACTTTTGTTTCACAGAAAGTGCAAGAACAGGGATGGCATCAATGTGCTGCTGCTCCTTTTTCTGTCCAATTACAGGCTGGGGCGAATTCTGAGTCACCAACCATAGCCATAGAAAAGTTACATTTTCGCTTCTCTTTCTGCATTCATTTTCTGCTATTTATCATAAATGGCAAGAGTGAGATTCCAGTTAGTGGCTGCTAGAGGTGAGAAGAGCTGGGACCTAATGGTTTAGTTTTCACTCTACCTATCCAACCATCCACAGTTACAAAATGAAAAATACTTACTTTAGTAGCATATTTTTCAGCAACAGACTGGACTTTCCCTGTTTTGTAGAAAGAAATCTAAAAGCAGAATAAAATAAATATGAAATTTAAAGTAAATAATACTTTAACCAGTTGAGTCCTCAGAGCCTTAACATTTTGCTGGGACACCGAATATTTGTCTCAATATTGTTTTAAAAAAGCATTGGGTCTCTGGTTTCAGTCAGCTCCAGCACCAGTCCCAGGAGCTGCAATGTCATTGTTACAGAACACTCCATAAGAGATATAAATATAATGAGGAAATATGAAGAAAATGGATATCATGGCCATTCCATTTCAAGTCAATGCCAAGGACAGGACAGGGGCAAATCCAGCTCCTTTGACCCTTAGTAATAGATTACTGCTGTAGTGATCTATTGCTGCAGAGCTCCATGGGGGCCTGGATCAGCTCCACACTGACCAGATTTCACACCCCCTGCATGTTCACTGCAAGCTAATGTTACTTTTTTTCTGTGTGTGTCAAAACATACTTTCAAATGAGGAAACTTTCTCCTAATGTTATAAGCGCAAATAAGTTTTGCCATTCCCCTATATGACATAAAATTCACACTTTAAATCATACTACTTATCCCACCACACTTCCTAAATTGCCCTCCTGACAGAGTACCCCCTACACTTGGGTCAGTGTACCCTTGCACAAGGGTAACTCTTACCCCCCTGCCTTCTGCTCCTGCTACCCCTCCCTTCCCAACACCCAAACCTTATCCTCATCCAGGTCTACCCTCTTCTAACCTGCCCACTATCTCATAATTTCTTCTCCTCCAGTTTTCATCTCCCTTCATTCTACCCAAAACAAAAAACCCTACTACAGTTCAATACCCTACTACACTACAATATACCTGTAAATTTTGCAGTATCATAACTAGGACCTGTTGCAGGAAAGGTACATGCATATCCCAGACCCTTTTTTGGGTTTAAGATAAAGGTATTTGAAGAGCTTTTTGTACCTATAGGATTTTTACCATGTACACGTCATAGAACACTCATTCAGAATTTGTTTTCAATACATTTGTCTATATTTATCTGTACTGTTACCACCTATAGTATACACACTGCTGGAATTACTAAATAATTTTTTAAAAATTACACCTATGCTATCAAATTATAGCTGTACGTGTCCCCATAACAATGTATAGAAGTCAGGATAGACTACAAAAGTTTAACAGTATAAGTGCAGAACTGAAGAAGAAAAAATGCTCTGGGGCACACAGAAGTTATAGTCGAAAAAGAAATATCAGTGGTTTATATTATGAAAGTGGGCCTGAACTCAAGACATAAAGATTTGCTAAGTTATAGGGAAATTTATAAATATTAATATGCCTAGGCTGTGCCTTTACTAGTTTTGCTTTTGCCTTGAAATCGTTCAGAAAATTAGCAGCACTTGCTGGTATGTGAGAGTGCCTATGCACTCCCGAGTATAAAGCCTCACAGCAGTATCTCTGCAGTGTAACTTTACCAGGCACTTCTGCCTCTGACTGTTAGTACAAGATGAAGCAAAACTCTGTCTCTACTAATATGTTTGGCTCCACAAACTGCAGAGGGCAGCATCGTCAGTAACGGTAAAAGATCCGCTACAGGGAGACCACGGGCAATACTGGCACCTAATTATTTGCCTGTCTTATTTGGGAACAGTTTCCAAAGTTTATTTCCTCTTTAATATAACAAAAACATTTACATAGCAACTTTCAATATATCCTATTATTACCAAACATATTCACATGAACATGAGGTTCTGCATCACATGAACATAAGTCCCCAACTGTGATTAAAACAATGCTATAGATAACTTTTATATAGCCTGCATGTATGAATTTACAAGTATATGCCTACTCATGTACCTGGCCCTAACAAATGTAACAGGAAACTTGCTAAATGGAAAACATCCTTTGATTGTAGTATTTCATAAACTCTAGGGTTGAATAGATATGTGCACTAATGCACTGTTTTTTATTTTTTTATATAATCAGTTTTATTGAGGTTTTTTTTTATAAAGAGTGCACAAATGTAAATACAAATATCAGGTCATAACAATTCTTAGCACAATGTACACTGCTTACAAAAATTAAAGGAAAACTTTTTAATCAGAGTATATCATTAAGTCAATTAAACTCCTGAGATACTGATATGGTCAGTTAAGTAGCAGAGGGGGTTGTTAATCTGTTTCAGCTGCTTTTGTGTTAATGAAATTAACAACAGGTGCACTAGATGGGCAACAATGAGACGCCCCCTCCCAAAACAGGAATGGTTTTACAGGTGGAGACCACTGACATTTTTTTGCCTACTCATCTTTTCTGTTTTTCACTATTTTTGCACTTGACTAGGGTCAGTGTCACTACTGGTAGCATGGACCCTACAGATGTTGCACAGGTAGTCCAACTCCTCCAGGATGGCACATTAATACGTGCCATTGCCAGGTTTGCTGGAACACTTATAGGATATCATGTTTCAGTCTATCCTATGCCGCCAGATTGCACCTCAGACTGTCCATGAGCTCAGTGATGCCCTAGTCCAGATCTGAGAGGAATACCCCAAGACACCATCCGTCATTTTATTAGGAGCATGCCCCGAGGCTGTCAGGCATGCATTACATACAAGCACCGGGGGGTCATACAAACTACTGAGTACCATTTTGAGTTGCTGCAATGAAATTTCAACAAAATGGACAAGCCTGCTGCATCAATTTTTCACTTTGATATTCAGGGTGTCTGAATTCAGTCCTCTTTAGGTTGATAATTTTCATTTCTCTCAAACGTTGGGGCATCCTTATGTTACTAACACATTACCTAGTCCATATCAGTATAGATATCCAGCATGATATTTTTCCCCAATGAGATCTGATGTGTTTTCAAAGAGTTCCTTTAATTTTTTTGAGCAGTGTATATATCTTTAGGAAGGTAAGTATCAAGTGATACAGTTAAGGATTACATTTCTTCTTCCTTGCTAAAACACTCAGTGAGTATATTGGTGATGGTTGGAAAACCGTGATGATTAGGAAATATGAAACATAAAGAGTACAAAAAATGGAAATACCGTATTTTTCGCTCCTTAAGATGCACTTTTTCCCTCCCAAAAAAGGGGGTCTTATGGAGCGAATATGGAGCGGCTGGTCCGGTATTTCCACCGCCGCCACTGTGTCAGAATACCGGGCTGGCTGCTCAGCTCTTCTCTGCAGCAGGACCTTACCTGTTCCTCAGTCCAGCGCTGTACAGTCTTCCCAGTCAGCATCTGTGACAGCCGGGTGCCCACTGCGCATGCGCGAGAAACGCTACACTTTGTGAATGGTCCGGCGTCTTCTGGGACACATGACCGGTCCCAGAAGACGCTGGGGCATTCACAAAGTGCAGTGCTTCTCGCGCATGCGCAGTGCACACCGGGCTGTCACAGCCAGGTGCCCACACTAAACGGAGGCCAACTCCATGGAAGTGGGAGCGGGTACCTGTCAAATTCGGGTACCCGCTCCCCCTCCCTCCCCAAAGGTCAGCAGTCTCTGGTCATACCCTGTACTGTCTGCAGTCTCTGGTTATCCCCTGTACTGTTTGCAGTCTCTTGGTCATCCCCTGTACTGTCCGCAGTCTCTGGTCATCTCCTGTAATGTGTCCGCCGTCTCTGGTCATCTCCTGTACCATGTCTGCAGGTCATCCCCTGTATTGTCTGCAGTCTCTTGGTCATCCCCTGTATTGTCTGCACTCTCTTGGTCTTCCCCTGTACTGTCTGCAGTCTCTGGTCATCCCCTGTACTGTCTGCAGTCTCTGGTCATCTCCTGTACTGTGTCCGCAGTCTCTGGTCATCTCCTGTACTGTGTCTGTAGTCTCTGGTCATCTCCTCTACTGTGTCCGCAGTCTCTGGTCATCTCCTGTACTATGTCCGCAGTCTCTGGTCATCGCCTGTACTATGTCTGCTGTCTCTGGTCATCCCCTGTACTGTGTCCACAGTCTCTGGTCATCTCCTGTACTGTGTCCGCAATCTCTGGTCATCTCCTGTACTATGTCCGCAGTCTCTGGTCATCGCCTGTACTATGTCCGCAGTCTCTGGTCATCGCCTGTACTATGTCCGCAGTCTCTGGTCATCTCCTGTACTGTGTCCGCAGTCTCTGGTCATCTCCTGTACTGTGTCCGCAATCTCTGGTCATCTCCTGTACTGTGTCCGCAGTCTCTGGTCATCTCCTCTACTGTGTCCGCAGTCTCTGGTCGTCGCCTGTACTATGTCCGCAGTCTCTGGTCGTCGCCTGTACTATGTCCGCAGTCTCTGGTATATCCTGTACTGTGTCCACAGTCTCTGGTATATCCTGTACTGTGTCCACAGTCTCTGGTCATCTCCTGTACTGTGTCCGCAATCTCTGGTCATCTCCTGTACTGTGTCTGCAGTCTCTGGTCATCCCCTGTACTGTGTCCGCAGTCTCTGATCATCTCCTGTACTATGTCCACAGTCTCTGGTCATCTCCTGTAATGTGTCCGCCGTCTCTGGTCATCTCCTGTACCATGTCTGCAGTCCATTGGTTCAGAATATTTTTTTTCTTGGTTTTCTCCTCTAAAACCTAGGTGCGTCTTATGGTCAGGTGAGTCTTATGGAGCAAAAAATACAGTACATAATTAGAGAGTCAGAAGGGAGGGGGTAAGCTAGATATAGAAAAAAGAAAAATAAATATTTTGCTACTTGATGACAATTGAAAATCCAATCTTTGCTCTCTAATGCCTTTAGAGCAGGGGTAGGCATCCTTAAAGAGGTAGAGATCTACCTGAACAACATGGGAGAAGTCAAAGATCAGCAGGCACAGTGTCGCTTCCTCACACCTGATTCAAACCCTTTAATTGCTGAACTAATGTGTCAAAATTACATGCATTGCACAGCAGTCGTGGGTTTAAATCAGATGGTGAGGAGGCAACATATCACCACCTCAACACCTGACAAACACACTTGGATCGCTTTTCAGAGGAGTAGCAATACCTGCTGCACTTGTGAATGAGTCCTCAGTTGTATTTGACTGCTGCACCCGTAGGACTTGTTCAAAATGGGGGGGGGGGGGGGGGTTAGAACCCTGGAGTTGAGTTGCAATTTTACCACCTTCAATCCCTACTCCCTTTAGCTGCTGAGGCAGCAGTCAAAATGTATGCATGCCACAATAGGAATTAAACCCCCTGTTGCTTTTGGTGGGTGCTACCTCCTGCCAACCGCGACCCACTGAAGTAAATGGGGCCACTCTGCAAGCGCCACACAACTGCATGCTTCTATGGGGTCCAAGGGGTTAAAGCAGGTGGTGATAAAGCAACACAATTATGCCTGCTTTAACCCCTTGTTTGCTGTACTGCACAAGTTTGCAGGACACTTGCAGAGCGGACTCATTCACTTGAATGGGTCATGCTTGGCAGGCAGGTGTTATACGCCCTGTCATGGTTGGTGGGTGTAACTCCTGCTATGGCATGTGCACATCCCTGGACACTGCAGCTAAACGGGGTGTGGTTGAGCTGGCAGTTGTAAAAATACATCTTAACTATGGGGTTTTACCACCCCACAAACTGCAAATGTAAATGAACCCTTTTGTTCTGAGCCTCCTATAAGGATGCTTTCACACTGATGTGCTGAGGTTTGCCTGCACTGTGGGTGCAGTGCAGAGCATCTGCGACTTTCCTGGGTAAGCTGCGCTTTGCCCTAGACTATCCTGAAGGTTTGACACACTTTCCACATTCATGAGTTTTCGTGCACTTTCAGAAAGTGCACCAAACTCGCAGGATATAATAGAAGTGTATGGTTAAGCACAGCAAACCCGCAGGAAAGCTGCAGGTACACTGCACCACACCCGCCCTGTACTATTATGCCCAGTGTATTGCTTCACATTGACCTGAAAAGCTCTTCCTTCCTGCTGATGGCACCACTCAGGAGACCACTAGCCGGGATAATAGGTGGAGTGCAGTTGGTATCACTCGACATGGGACAGGAGCCAGAACTACAGTGGAGGCATCAGCTTATGTGGCTCTTGCTCCCTACTACAGTTCCAACTTTACAAGTAGTCCCTCTCTATTGCACTCTGTTTGATGCTTTGAGATGGCTGTCAGCAGGCCTAGACCGCAATCTACCAGTCACCTGGCCGTGATCTATGGGCTGCGGGCCCACGCTTTAAAGGGTAAAACGTAGCATATCATACGGAAGACTTGCATTCAAATGACAAGAGTAAATGAAGGAGAGCTTGGACTCACCTTCCCTTTAATTAACCACTTAAAGTATTACTTAACTCAGGACCCAGCATTCACTATATCTGGTCTCCCACAGTACACAGAACATGGAAATGCAACTGTTTTAGTAAATATAAACTGCTAAATACCTTTTCTCATCAGCAGTTACAGCAGTCTTCTGACTTCGATCAGTGTCCAGCAGAGCACTGGTTAAAGCTTGTAGGAGGAGTTTTTTTTTCTCCCCTGATTGTCTTATGAGGCTGCCTGGACAGCACTGATTGGCCCTGTGTTGATCATATGTACTTTCCCAAGAAAAAAAAAAAACTAGCAATATACATCAAACTGAGCATGTGCAGCTTGCTCCCAATGCTTTGTTCTATCAGGAGATGGATTGGGGATAGTAGATGAAGGGGAGGATCAGAGATGACAAGATCAAACATCCTTTTTACACAATGCGGAGGATTAACCCATTAGGTTCCACAGTGAGTATAACAAGCATGCTTTACTGCATATACTGACTGATTTTACTGTTGTGGGTTTAGTAACACTTTAAGCTCTAGAAGCTTTTACCCCCTTCATGACCAATGCTGTTCAGCACTCCGCTATTTAACTGGCAATTGTGCAGTCATGCAACACTGTACACAAATGAAATTTATATAATTTTTTTCACACAAATAGAGATTTCTTTTGGTGGTATTGGTTCACCGCTGTTTTTTTAAATTATTTATTATATAAACAAAAAAAAAGACAGAAAATTTTGCAAAACCAATATGTTTTACTTTCTACTATAAAACATCCAAAAAAAAAAAAATTAAAAAATCTTTTTTTTTTTACAGAAATTAGTCCAAAATGTATTCTGCTACATGTCTTTGGTAAAAAAAAAATATCCCAATAAGTGTATATTGATTGGTTTGTGCGAAAGTAACGGCATCTACAAACAATGGTATATATACTGGAATTTTTTTTTTTATATAAGTAATGGCAGTGATCAGCCATTATAGTGATACTGTGGTGGGAAATCTGACACTAACTGACAGTTTTTGGGAACTAACACTGACATCACTAATACAGTGATCAGTGCTAATATTATATACTCTCAGTGTACTAATGATACTTACTGGGAAGGGGTTAACATTTAGGGGCAATCAAAGGGTTAACTATGTACCTAAAAATGTTTACTGTGTGCTGTTTTTACTAAGCAATGTGCAGGTTTTTACTTCCTGCTTTGCAGCGGCACATTGCTGCTGTCTGTTACTAACACAGGGCTCTCTTCTGTTATTCACTCAGCTGATCAGGTTCCAGCCATAAATCATTGGCTGGGACCTGCTAATTGGTTTGTGCTGTAGTGAAAGACAGCACAGCCAGAATGGCGGGTGTGCACGCACGCTCCCTACCTGGAAATGCTGGATCACATACACAGGGATGAAACTGGGCGGGGAGGGGACAGAGGGGCACCTGTCCCCAGTGCCACAGATTGAATGGGGCGCTGGCAGCATGGTTTGGCTATGGAGAAGTAGAGCCGCACAGATTGAGTTCTGCTGTACTGGGCTGCTTTCTTGGCTATACACAGCCAGACTTCTTGCCAGTGTTCCTGCCAAAATACAGGAAACAGTCTAGGTGGACAGGGGCAGCCAGGGAATAGTGCTGGACCTCTTCTCCTCCTCGCACACCACCACAACACCAGCGGACCTCCCTTCAGCCACCACCATGATGGACATGCGCTATACCACATCCAGGAGCACAGTCAGACTCACCCTTCCCCCGGCAGTAAACCCAGAGCAAGCTGACACCTCTCCTCTCTCATCAGCAGCCGGCTCCAGCCTCCTTGTTTCTTCCAGCTGTGTAGCTCCTGCTGAATCTGGTAAGCAACCTCACTCTATTATTTAGTAAACACTTACAGCCCCAGAGATATCCAACACTTTACAGTCCCTACCAACCAGGAAAGAACTAACCCCATTTGCAGCCAAATACAATCCACTTTGAAAGCAGATCTTGCTGATAACCCTTTCCTCTAGCGTCTCCACTCAGGACTAATTATGCTCTGTTAAAATAGAGATTGGTCTCCCTTGAACAGCAGCAAACCCAGTAGCATCAATGAGAAGTGCAATGGATGACCTAGAGACTTACAGTAGGTGAAACAACAACAAACTATAGGAGATCCCAAAGTCTACAGTGGGTGCCAATTTACCCCCCACTGTAATGACCATCCTTCATACATACCAGGACAAGCCACCATCCTCATCTCTGGCGATTGACTGGGTACATGGCATGCACTCTAACACCTGATTGGATAACTCCAATCCCAGACACTTCTTCTGGAGGGTCCATTATTTCAGGATTGAAAGAGGTGCCACCGGTCTCATCTGATCCTCTCTCCCTGCCGCTCCCTCAGAGCCTGATCTCCTCCACAAGTGCTAGCGTTTGTGACGTTAGAGAGATCGAGCATTAGGGGAGTGGCCGGGAGAAAAGATCGGATAAGCCATCCGTTTTTCTCCAGATGACAGCTTTCAAATAACCAGCGGCGCTCCGGTAATGCCCACTGGTTGCATAGTATAAATGCACCCGACAGCTGTGGAGTTTGGTTTTTGTAGGAGCCTGGAAAGCATTGCACCCGAAATCAGCAGATCACAGGTGCAATGCAGGTCTCCTACAGCCTGTTCATGTAGGTTTTCTACCCATACATTGTATGGGCAGGCAGTTTCACAAAGACAGGAAGAATCAATGACCTACCTAGAGCACTCAACAATGCCCTGGTAGTTCATTGAAACTACAAGCCGATAGCTGCCAGAGAATGTCAGTGCTTGTAGTTCACTCATTGACAGAACCCAATGTTTTCAAATAAAGAAAGCAAGTATGGGGAGAAGATCTCCCGCCTGCTGTCACAGAGAGGGCTCGGTTTGGAGAGCGGCTGCAAGAGTGGGAACATGTTACA